ACATTTAGCTGGGTGTGGTGACACACACCTTTAAGCACCATATCATGAATAGACTCCTTCCTTCAAACCCAGGACTTCCTCCAGGCCATTCCAATTTAGGGCTGTGAGAAGCCAGGGCTGGCTAAGCCAGAAAGCCAGGCTATATGTGGGATAAATCATAGGGAGTGAAGGTAGCCCTTGGGCTGGGGGTGAGAGTGGCCAGGACAGGACTCTAGTTGGTGGAGTAAGACTCAGTTCTTCACTGAAGTCTGTCCTGCTCTCTCTTCTGTACAATGCTGCCCACATTCCCCAGGACACTCTGTAAAAGAAAAAAAAAAACATTGTTGTAGCCAGACATTGCAGTAAGCCCCTGTAACAACACCCTAGGAAGGAAGCAGAGGCAAGAGAGGACCACCAGGAGTTCAAGGCCAGCCAGTACTACACAGATATATCAAAAATTAAAACACAGGGGCTGGTGATCCAGTGCGGCAGGTGCAGGTGCAGGTGCGCGCTGTCCAGCCCGGTGATCCGGTGCAGTGGATGCGCACTGTCAAACCCGGTGATCGGTGCGGCAGGTACAGGTGCACGCTGTCCAACCCGGTGATCCGGTGCAGCGGGTGCACGCTGTCCAGCCTGAAGGGCTGAGTTTAATCGCTAGGACTCACAGAGTGGAGAAAAACACAGAACAGAGCCTGTAAGCTGGCGTCTGACCTGCATTCACCCACCCACAGACGAAACCCCACACACAAAGTAATACAAGCGCACTATTTCGCCAGGTGGTGGTGGCAAACACCTTTAAGTCCAGCAGGAAGGAAAAGCTAGTTGTGTTAATGTGGAAGGAAGCTGTGGAGGACAGCTAACACATCCATTCCAGCACTTGAACTCAGGAGACAGGCACGGCCCAGAGTTCTGTGCTACCTTAACCCAAAGAAGACAATGTCTTAAAAAACTAGCCAACCAACCAAAAGAAAGAAAACTAGGCTGGGGCTGGAGAGATGGCTCAGTGGTTAAGAGCATTACCTGCTCTTCCAGAGGTCCTGAGTTCAATTCCTGACAACCACATGGTGGCTCACAACCATCTGTAAAGAGGTCTGGTGCCCTCTTCTGGCCAGCAGACATGCACACAGACAGAATATTGTATACATAATAAATAAATAAATAAATAAATAAATATTTAAAAAAGAGAAAAAATTAGATAAAATTTTAAAAAAATAAAGAAAAGAAAACTAGGCTGGAGAGGCAGCTCAGCAGTTACTGGCAGGGGCCGCCTCTCAGAGGACCTGGGTTGAGTTCCAAACACCACAGGGCACAAGCACCTGTAACTGCAGCTCTGGGATCTGAGGCCCTCTTCAGGCCTCACCACACACGCACACGCTCTTGCACACACGCATGGTGCACACATGCGCATGCACATGCACACGCGCACACACGCGTACATGCACACACACACACGCAAGGTGCACAAGTGCATTATACACATATAATTTAAAAAAGGAAGGAGAAAACCAGAATTAAGTACTATTCACAAAACTGCTAAGATGGAACCGATCTTAGGGCCAAACCTGCTCAGATGGCCCCATGCCTGTCAGGCTTAATGGAGAGTAGTCAAACTGCAGAGATTCTTTTCCTGAAGCTTAAGTAATGACACCACATAGTATCTTCTGTTCTTTTTAATTTTTTTTGAGACACAGTCTCAACCTAGCTATGTAGCCAAGGATGGCCTAAACTTCTTTTTTTTTTTTTTTTTTTTTTTTTTTGGTTTTTCGAGACAGGGTTTCTCTGTGGCTTTGGAGCCTGTCCTGGAACTAGCTCTGTAGACCAGGCTGGTCTCGAACTCACAGAGATCCGCCTACCTCTGCCTCCCGAGTGCTGGGATTAAAGGCGTGCGCCACCATCGCCCGGCTTGGCCTAAACTTCTTGCTTCCTGCCTCTGCCTCCCTGTGCTGGGGTAACAGGTGTGCCTTGCAGGTTTGCATGGTGCTGGGGGCAGGATCTCTGGCTTTCTACATGCCAGGCAAGCCCTTTACTCACTCAGCTACAAGAGTGTTGCTACTCAACCCAGGCTAGTCACCATGCAGTGGTCTTCTCGGCTCAGCCTCCTCAGCGCGGGGATCATAACGGCGCCAGCCCAGGCTTCTTTCCCAATTTACAAAGCAGGTTCCAAATCTTGGGTGTCACAACTGCACAGCCCGAGACTGTGCCTTGAAGACAGCTGTATTTGGCGAATGCATGCCCAGATGTGTCCAGATGATGGCTGATTTCAAGGGGCTGAGGCAGAGAATGGTTTCTGTGGAGTGTATAGGCCGGGCAGGAAGTAGGGGATTCTTTTTTTTTGGGGGGGGGGGGTTCGAGACAGGATTTTTCTGTAGCTTTGGAGCCTGTCCTGGAAACTCACTCTGTAGACCAGGCTGGCCTTGAACTCACAGAGATCTGCCTGACTCTGCCTCACCAATGCTGAGATTAAAGGTACATCACCACCGCCCAGCTAAAGACTGATTGATTGATTGATTTAATGTATATGAATGTTCTATATGCCTACACACCAGAAGAGGACAGAAATTCCTACTAGAGATGGTTGTGAACCATCATCGGGTTGTTGAGAAATGAACTCAGGACCTTTATCTGGAAGAGTAGTTGGTGTTCCTAATCACTGAGCCATCTCCCTAGCCTTGAATCTCACTTTTGTAGACCAGGCTGGCCTCAAACTACTGAGATCTGCCTGCTTCTGCCTCCTGAGTGCTGGGATTAAAGGCGTGCACCATCGTTGCCCGGCAAACGTCAATCTTTTTTCAATTCATCTTTTTTATGTTCACTGGTGCATATGTATCTGTGGGAGGGTGTCAGAAGCTCTGGAATTGCCACGTGGGTATTGAGAATTGAACCTGGGGCCACCTGAGAGCACAGACGTCCAATTAAACCTGGATATCTTTTAATTTGGTCTGATTTGGTCTGACTGGGATTATTTGTGTCAGCAGAGAGGCTCATCTCTCATTGGGGTCCACAAAAATAGTAAAATAACTAGCATGGCTTTTCTGTTGACCCGCTTCCAGTGTAATGACCCAAAGTCCTGGTTTTTCTCCAGAGTCCCTTGGCTCATGTGGCCTCCTGTAAGTTAGACGTAGCACCTAAGGTCTCTGGCTTTCTGACGTGGATCACATCACGTCCACACTAATCTCCCACTTACCGGTCTTGCAAGTGACCATAAACTGATCCTGTGGAACCTATTCTGGTCTGATAGCTGGTCACAAGACACTCTTTATTCCAGAAAGGTCCTGGCAGACAGTCCGAGAAGATTGCAAAGAAGCTGATTCTGCGGACATCGGCCAATCCAGGTTCTCTGGCGCCCGTGTCTACCTTGCTGGCAGCCACTGCTCAAGCCAGACAATCTGCAGTTTAGTCAGGGCTGCTGCGTGAGGTCCCCATGAAGCATCAGATCCTGGCTCCTTAGTCAACAAATCAATTAAAAAGTATTGCCTGCTCTTAATGTTAAACTATTTCTCTAGTCCCTACTATTTATTCATTAATTTTATTTCATCTTTGTTTGTTTGTTTGTTTTCAAGACATTGTCTCATGTAGTCCCAGCTGTCCTGGAATCTGCCTGCCACTGCTTCTGGAGTGATGAAAGGCATCTCACACAGGTCAGCCTAGGTGGAATTATTTGTGATCCTCAGCTTGCTCATGCTGGCATGAACCCCATGCTGTTGGCATGAATCCCCATGCTTGGCTTCACTGTTTTGTTTTTTAAAATGTCTGAGTGTTCTATCTACATGGATGCCTGCATGCCGGATGAGGGCATTGGATCCCAGTACAGATGGTTGTGATCCACCATGTGGGTGCTGGGAATTGAACTCTGGACCTCTGGAAGAGCAGCCAGTGCTCTTACACTCTGAGCCATCTCTCCAGCTCTGGAGGTGTCACCGTTCATCTGCATCCCCGGAACTTTCGTTCCTTGAGACACGGTTTCTACCTGACTCTGCCTTCAGAGTGCTGAACTTTTTCTTTTCTTTTTTTTTCTTTTTTGTCACACATCTGCCTTTATTGTAAACAGCAGTTGGGACACTTGTAGCAATGGTAAAAAAAAATAATTTACAAAAGCAGGGACTTGGTGAAGCTGCCTGGTGGGTACCCTTGGGGACTCATATGTAGATGCCAACCCAGAGCAGGAGGAAGAGAACTCCAAAGCCCATGAAGAGTGACCACCAAGGAGATGAGGAGCTCTTTGTAAATGTCACGAGTGTACTTGGTGGAGGTAACCTCGAAGAACCAGGCGGTGAAGAACATGCTGATGGCCAGAAGTACCACGGTCAGGTGTGGGAAGACGGCTGGGTTGACAGGGCTAGTGTACCTACCACGGGAAGAACACGTCGGCAGAAGCAAGCGCGTTAAGCCTGAACTTTTCCTTCTTTTTAAGATTTATTTATTTATTATGTATACAGTGTTCTGCCTGTGCGTACACCTGTGAGCCAGATTACATTACAGATCGCTGCGAACCACCACGTGCCTCCCCCACCACAGTTTGTCCCCTGAGCGGCGGGATGAATTCTTATGTGCACTAGCCGTGTTGGGGGATGGAATCAGGGGTCTCCTGGATGCTAGGCAAACACCTTACAAACGTGCTATAGCCCAAACCCCAATTTTTATTCAAGAGTCCACATATTTGCTTCATCCACTGTAGGGATGGGGAAAAGGAGGGCCTGAGTGGACCCGGAACCCGGGGAACTTCCCAGTAGTCTGAGGGCAGATGCTCTTTGAGTGAGTTTCCTTCTGCCTCAAGTCTCCCCTCTGTGGATGTCTCAGTGTCAAGCAGGGTCCATGTTTGGGCCATCCATTCGCGGGTCTTGAACCGGCAACACAGCGCTCTGGCCCCTGCAGGACACAAGGAAAAAGGCCCCCAGATACACTAAGATGGCGTGAAAGGGCACGCGCGCGGCCTTATGGGAATTATAGTCAGCTCTCCGCCTCGAGCAGGCCCCGCCCACGAACTATGTTCCCGTCGTGCCCCGCGGCGGTAGGCGGGGCGGCCCGGTTGCTAGGACTTGGAGCGGCGTGGCGTTCTCGCGGGCGTCCCTCAGGTGAGCAGCCGCCGTAGGGACTCGGCTTCCACTGTTCCGGATACGCCACCGGGCAGCGGGGAGAGCGACACGATCCGGTCGGTGGACGGGAAAACTAGGCCCTGCCGGGGCCGACGACGTAGGCTCCGGGAGTGCTGCGCGCGTTCCGGGAGGGGGTGGGCGTGCTCGTGCGCTCAGTCAACGCGAGTACGCGTGCGTCGAGGGCTTTGTACCTACCGCACCCTACGCCGTCGGTTTGCTGCGCACGCGTGTGCCCCTCTTCTCATTCCGGAAACTCGTAATTTCCAGTAGCGTCTGTTCCGGGTCATCGCAGTTAGTCCCCTGCCTCAGGGTTGTCCAAACACCGTCTAAACAGCAGGTGTGCAGTTTCCCTTTAAGCTATGGTACCCTGTGGGAATTGTTGAGGTAGTTCTGGCGGTACCAGGTATCGAATCCTGGGCTTTGGTCCTGTTAGGTGGGCACCGCTAACCCACGTCCCTTCCCTCCGGTAGCTGATTCCACCCTTACCCCCTCACTGGAGGTGGGTAGGTTGTCAGCGCTGCCCTCTGCCTTCAGTCCTTTATATTTTTTATTTCGGAAGGTTTTGCTTTCTGTCTCAGACTGGCCTGGAACTCAGCATCCTGCTTACTGAGGGCCTGGTGTTTTAGGCTTGAGCGTTCAGACTTGACGCCGTGATGCTGTTTGCTGTCCTCCCCTGTAGCCAAGCCAGTCGACAGCCGTGGCCCCTTTCTGTGGGACCCTGGACCCAGGGCCCATTGCTAGCCTGCAGTTCTTAAGTGCGGTGTGCTGAGGTTCCTCGGAGAGAGGCAGACTTCCTAAGCCACTTTAGGGAGTGTCGGCAGGCCCCAGGTCCCTGTCGGGGCTCATGGGGCAGGAGCTCCTTTTGGGACCTGTTTGCATGCTGACTCCATTTATGCTGGTGTCCGCTTCAGTCCCAGAACGTGGGAGGCAGTGACATAAAGATGATCGCAAGTTTGAAGCTGATCTGATAGACATGGTGAGCCCTCGGCTAGCTTGGGCTACACGGGGAAACCTTGTCTCAGAACAGAACAAGAAAGCAAGCATACAGAATGGACCTTGAAGGACCCCTCTGGCCACAGCCTTGGCTACCATCCTGTCGCTTTCAGACTCCTCCCCAGAGGTCTGTAAAGCCAGGCACCTGTCCCCAAAGCCTTCTTTCTGCGTCCCTGTTTGTAGTCTTGAGGGGACAAACGCAGCTGTGTCTTCTGCCCTGCAGACAGTAGTGCTTTGTGGTCCCCGCAGTTGGTGGGGGTTATAGGCGTGCTATGTGCCTGGGAAGGCCAGATGTCACCATGGCCCCTCATGGGCTCTGCCTGCCCTGGGGCCTGTCAGAGGCAGCCATGGTGCCACTAGGCTCTCAGACATGCCTGGCACCATTCTCCCCATAGAGCCATGCTCCACTGACCTGGGCAGCCTGGGGGAGCTCTAGAAGCCAGCAGATGCCCACCAGGCCATCATGGTGGCCGGGGGACACCACAGGGGTGGCGGTTTGTGGGTAACGCAGACAAGCCCCTAGGCAGCCCTGCAGTCGCCTCCCTCGCGGGAGCTCTTGTTCTGTCTTCTGGTGTGTTTCTTTGATGCTCAGTATGTAACTCAGGTTTCAGTGTGGCAGCCACGTTCCTGCCACCTTTGAGCCACGCTCGCAGCCCCTCCATGGCGGCGCTTTGATGATTGTGAAGAATGTGGGTGTCTAATCGTTGCCTGTAGATGGCGGTTAGTCAGCTGGCATGGTGGGGCAGAGAGGTAGGTGACAACTCAGCTGACATAAGGGTGGCAAGTGGTTTTGGGTAGCAGGGTCTGTGTGGAGCCTGCAGTATGGCTGCCGCCGGGTCGCACCTGACGTCCTGCTTTGACTGACTGTTACTCCATGGCAGTGTGAAGCAGTTGTCTGCAGCCAAGGGGATCCTCTGTGGCCTAGCCCTCACTGTGCCTCTCACAGCCTGGTGTTTCTTTTCTTTTCTTTTTTTTTTTTTTTATTTTTTCTGACAGGGTTTCTCTGCATAACCTCCCTGGCTGTCCTGGAACTCACTTTGTAGACCAGGCTAGTCTTGAACTCACAGAGATCCCCTGCCTCTGCCTCCTGAGTGCTGGGATTACAGGCGTGTGCCACCGCTGCCCGGCTGAGCCTGGCTTTTCTCTTGTGTATCACAAGGTGACGCTAGTTTTGGCTGTCAGCTCAGGTTTCTTTGGGGTGCTGGCAGAGCCTGCTGGAATGGGTCCTGGCCACGTGCCTGCCTTGTTCAGCAGGGCCTGTGTTCTTGGGATAGATACATCTTAGGTCTGCTGCCTTTTTCTGGGGTATTAAAGTGGGGTCTTGCCCACTCCAGTTTACAGCCATCATTCTGCCTCTGCCCCACCAGTGCTGGGGTGACATTTGTGTGTCTCTACTCTGGTCCACTGTGACCCCAGTAGGCGCCACCTGGGGTCGGGGGGATGTGAGTGTGAGGGCTATGCCCTTCTGTGGGTGGTCCTCCACCCCACCCGTCAGCCCTGGGGCCATAGCCAGAAACATGTGCTGTGGTCGCCTCTTCTGCAGGTAGAGGTCCCCGTGGGGCTGTAGGCACATATACTGGACAAGGCATGTCCACACCTCATACTGCAGGCAGAATTCTGTTTTTCCTGACTATATGCCTGAGCTCTTCAAGCCAACCGAAGTGTGGCAGTAGCCCATGCCAGACCTGTGACCTCTGAGGCACAGATCAAGTATCAGTTGTCTGTGGATGGGTGACCGTGGGCTTGCTTAGGGGCCAAGGACTGGATTTTGTTTTTCATGGACTTTTTTTTTTGTTAGAGACAAAGTATTATGTAGCCCAGGCTGGCCTCAAAGTCACCATGAGCTCCTGATGCCCTGGCCTGCTCCTCCCAGGATGATAGGTAGTGTCACTGGGCCTGTGCATGCTGATGGGGTGGGTTCTGGATTTGGCAGTAATGAGTGACTGTCTCCCCACTGTGTCCGTCCTGTGCGCGATGACTGGTCAGAGCCCTGAAGAGCCCGGCACGGTTATTCCTTGTGCAGCCTGGGAGTCAGCTGATTGTACCTGGCGCTCAGGCTCCTCCTTCCCAGACCTGGCAGGATCCATAGCATCCCAGGACAGACCCCGAGCCACTGAAGCTGACGGGTGACGCTCCAGTCGCATCTTTGTCTCCCACAGTCAAAGCTCGCTGAGCATGGATCCCACCGCGGGCCTCGCAGAGCAGCCTGAACCTGAGAAGACTGGAAGTGAGGAGCAAGAGCCGGTGCAATGGCAAGCCCTCCCTGTCCTGTCGGAGCAGCAGTCGGCGGCCGTGGAGCTGGTGCTGGCCTATGCTGCCCCCGTCCTGGACAAACGCCAGACATCACGCCTCCTCCGGGAGGTGTCTGCTGTCTACCCGCTTCCAGCCCAGCCCCACCTCAAGCGGGTGCGCCCCAGCCGCAGTGCCGGGGGCGCCCACGCATCGGATCTGCTGTTGTGCCTGGCAGGGCCTTCAGCGGGCCCCCGCTCTCTGGCCGAGCTCCTCCCCAGGCCGGCCGTGGACCCACGTGGCCTGGGCACACCTTTCCTGGTGCCCGTGCCTGCCCGGCCACCCCTCACCCGGAGCCAGTTTGAGGAGGCGCGGGCACACTGGCCTACATCCTTCCACGAGGACAAGCAGGTGACCAGCGCGCTGGCCGGGCAGCTCTTCTCTGCGCAGGCGCGAGCAGCCATGCAGAGCCACATGCAAAGGGCCGTGCGTGCCGCCCAGAGAGCAGCTGCGCAGGGCCTGCGGGCGGTGGGCGCTGTGGTGGTCGACCCAGCCTCTGACCGCGTGCTGGCCACAGGCCATGACTGCAGCGGCACCACCAGCCCCCTGCTGCACGCTGTCATGGTGTGCATTGACCTGGTGGCCCAGGGACAGGGCCGTGGCACCTGTGACCTCAGACGTTACCCAGCTTGCTCCTTCGCCCCGGCCTCCACCGCCCAGGGTGCACGTCCTGGCAGCGTGCGCAAGCTGGAGGAGGATGAGGACAGCCTGCCCTACGTGTGCACTGGCTACGACCTGTATGTCACCCGCGAGCCCTGCGTCATGTGTGCCATGGCCCTCGTCCACGCCCGCATCCAGCGCGTCTTCTATGGGGCGCCCTCACCAGACGGCGCCCTGGGCACGCGCTTCCGTGTCCACGCGCGGCCAGACCTCAACCACCGCTTCCAGGTGTTCTGTGGCATCCTTGAAGACCAGTGCTGCCAGCTGGACCCCGACCCATAGGCCTGGTGACCGTCTGCTTCCAGACCTCTGTGTCCCCTGAAGCTCCACGGCCTTGGACCCGGGGGACCCACCCTCTGTATCTGTCTAAGGACACTGACCGCCTGTGTTAGCGTGTGTGGGACCCTTTCAGCCCCAAGACAGCGGCCTCCTCTCTGCTGGCTGTGGCGACCGTGGGCGACTCTGCTTACAAGCCCAGTGGCTGTCTTCCAGTTCCGGTGGTCCTCCAGGCTCGGGGCAGGGAGCAGCCATCGTGTGTGAAAATAAAGCACCTCAAACCAAGTTCCTGTTTGCACCAAGGGGCCAGGCTGTGTGGCTTTGAAGGGGAAGGTGGCAGCCCTGCTGAGTGCAGCCAGCTCTGGATGCTTCTAGGGGCAGAAGCAGTTCAGGAGACGCCCGTGCCTGTCTCTGCAGTCTGTCTGGACACCTGTTGGCCTGGGCTGTTCATGGCCCTTCTCTGTACCTCTCTGCTGGGGAGGCTGGGGCTTCAGAAGGGTCCGCCTGAGTGTGGTGGGCTGCTAGGCCTCTGAGCAGGACGCTGCTGCCCTTAGGAGACTGGCCTGGGGGCCCTCCCAGGCTGAGGGGACATGGGGCTTTGCCAGTGGTGAGGGCCTGCTGTGCGCCTGCTGGCCTTGGGCAGATGTGGACAGCGGAGCGTGGCTCAGCCTAGAGCAGACGTCGGGTTTGGGTTCCTGCCTGCATCTTCATGTCCTCCCTTACAACCTTCCTCCTCCAAGGAAAGCCAGGGCCTGTTGCTACTCAGATGACCAGGAGGCAGGGTGGGGCAGGGTGAGGCTGTGAGGTGTCCCGTCTTGACACTGTGGGACTGTGTCCAGCCAGTGGCACCTGGTTGAGCAGGGCCTGGACTCTGAGACCAGGGTGGACCTGCAACCTTTTTACTTGAAACCTCAGGGGGGCTTCCCCGGCCTCCTCAGAGCCATTCAGGTGACTGGGGCTGTGCCAGGGCCCTGTGAGCTCTCCTGGGTGAATTCCACACCCACAGCTGCTGTGACCATGTGATTGTCACATGGCAGGAAGCTCTGTTCTGGGTGGTTCCCTTGAATAGGAATCCTGAGGGTTGTGTCGGGAGCACTTAGCGTCATCTTTGGGGCCACATTTGGGTCAGTGTTGGGAGGACAAAAACTGGGGACATCCTGGCCCCAAGGCTGCGGGTAAAATCAGCTGGTGGCTTCACCCTTCCCCTTCCAGACTTCTCTGTGGGTAGGTGACATGCAGCCCCACACCTGGGACCAACACTTGCTGGGCAGCAGCCATCAGGGCCTGTGTGGGTGGACTGGGCTCGGGTCTTCCTGGGCCTGGTGACTGCAGGGGCCCTGATACTAGTCTCCTTTCAGGTGGCCCTTTCTGCCTGGGTGCCAGGCCAGCTGGGACAGAAATGGCAGGTGAGATGCCCTGTTCCCCAACCCCACTGAAACCCTGGATTCCTGAGCTACCCCAGCTTCTACCCTTGTGACACGTTTAGTGCTACAGTGGGGCATAGAGCCACCAGAGAACCACCACCTTCCAGCGTGCAGATTGAGGGTTTGAAGTGTGGCTCGGAGGGGTGTACAGGGGACCCTGGGGCTGTGGAGGGCCTCTGGCTGCCTGGTCTTTCCTGCCCTCCCTGGCCTGCCAACCTAGGGCGCGTGCACTGCCTGGCCACTCCTTAGTGGTGTGGCCCTGGCCGCAGCCTTCGAGGGGACGGGAGGGCAACCTGCAAAGGTCCACGTCCTGTGCAGCCTCGGTGGGGTCCTTCTGCAGGAAAGGAGAACAACTTCCCGCCGCTGCCGCACTTTGTCTCGCTGAAGCCCTGCTTCTACCAGGACTTCTCTGAGGAGATCCCTGTGGAGCACCGGGTGCTGGTGAAGAGGATCTACCGCCTGTGGATGTGTGAGCCTCACGGGGCGGAGGAGTCCTGGTCCCTTCGTGTGGCTCCTCCGTCCTTGCTGATCTGCCCCCACTCTTCTCCACCTGTGTCCCCCTCCAGTTTACTGTGCCACTTTGGGGGTGAACCTGGTGGCCTGCCTGGCCTGGTGGATTGCGGATGGGACAGGAGCCAACTTCGGCCTGGCCCTGCTCTGGCTGCTTCTCTTCACTCCCTGCAGTTATGTGTGCTGGTTTCGGCCCGCATACAAGGCCTTTCGGTAAGGCTGGTCCAGGGGCCGGCAGGCTGTAGAACCTCTCTGTCCTGCTGGACTTTCTGATCCATGTCCAGGACAGGCTTCCGCCCAGTTAACTGACATTTGTCCTCCACTTGTCCAGTGTGGCTGCTTGTGTCATGGGCAGCAATCTGTGACCGTAGGCCACAACCAGCTGCTGGGATGGAGTCCAGGGTGTGAGACTCAAGGCAAGTGGCACTGGCTGAGCCATGTCCCCTTCTTTGGTGCTTTGAAGTTTGGTGGAATTACACCACAGGGAGGTCTGGTCACAGCACCCCTGCCTCAGCCTAACTTGAGGGCACCTGCTAAGTCATCTTTGGAGTCCGTACCCTGATTTTTGGTTTACAGTTGGCTCGTGCACTATAGTTTCCTGAACATAATGCATGGTGGGATTGCAGTGTGGTGGGTTAGCCTTGCTGGTGCTTGCTTCTAGAAGATTCCATCATGCAAAAGTCTGCTCTCCGGCCTCCACAAAGCCACTTCTGTCTCTGGACAGTGTCTGTTATGGAGTCACACACGTGTGTGACCTCCCGTGTTTGTCCCACTGCGGTGTGTGTCAGCTGCATGCCTGGGTGTCCGTCATCCATCCACCTTCAGTTGTCTCTCCTCAGCTGGCTTCTCCCTTCTGGGACAAGTGTGCCTGAGTTACAGACAGAGGCTAGAGTGGGGCAGGGAGACTCCACCAAGCCAGAGCAGAGGCTGTCTCCTCCCACTCTCTGAAGCCGCCTTCCTTTGCCATCGGGGTGTCTAGGCTTTATCAGCTCTCCCTATTGGTGGGACCCCCAAGTTTCTCCAAGCCGTCCCCAGAGACACTGGCTGAGTGCCTGGTGGAGGGTCCGTAGGTCCATCAGGGACCAGGGGACTCGGTGCTTCCACCCCACCGTGCTCTTTCCCTTGCAGAGCTGACAGCTCCTTTAACTTCATGACGTTCTTCTTCATCTTCGGAGCACAGTTCGTCCTGGCCGTCATTCAGGCCGTCGGCTTCTCGGGCTGGGGGGCATGGTAAGCCGACTAAGGGATGTGCCTGTGTGAGAGTCCGCGTGGGCCTTATCGGGAGGAACCAGCAGAGGGTGCTGCCGAGCTGCTCGTGGCCCTGCCAGTGCCACCCTCTTAGATTTCATCCTAAAGCGACCCTTTCCTGCCACTCTGCCCTGGGCTGCCTTGGATAGACACACTCCATATATGGCCTTGACTGGCCTGGACCTGGTAGTTGAAGTTACGAGTTTTATCTGCCCCACTCCTGAGTACTGGGATAAAGGCATGTGCCGCTGGGTCTGGGCCCCCATTTCTTTCTCACGTGTATTACACCCCAACAGTTCTCCTCCGCTCCACTCTTCCCAGCACCTCCCTTTCTTCCAGATCCATTTACTCCTCTTCCATTTCCCTCCCAGGGACGTCAACCAAACAGGAATAATGAGTTACAGTAAGAGCAGGCACAGCCTCGTGCATGGCTGTGAGACAGCCCAGGACAAGGCTCCTGCACTCCCGCTGTTGGGAGCCCCTTAGGTGTATGCAGAGGACTTAGGTCAGGCCCTTCCGGGCTCCATGGTTGTTGCTTCAGTCCCTGGGAGAGCCCTTAGGAACCCTGCTCAGTTGACGCAGTGTGGCCTCCGTTTCTTTTGTGCGTCCTCGTCGAAGTCCATGTAAGGTCCTTGGGCACCCTCTTCCCCTCCATGTTTCTCATATGAACCCTGCCCCCTACCTTCCCTGGCAGCTGGAGTCCACAGCCTTGGAACGGGCTGTCACCCACTCCATCCCTAGCCATGGCATCTCCAGGATGGACGGGCTGCCAAGGAGGGCTGTTTAGCGTGTCCCACCCAGCCCCACGTACTTGGTCATTTAGTGGTAGCGTGGAGAACGGCTTGGAGGAATCATCGAGGCCTTGCCTTAATACTTTTTTTGAGATGTGTTTGGTGTGTTTTGTTTTTGTCAGTCACCCTTTGGTCCCTAACTGAGCTTGGGCTCCTTTACCTCTTGATCCGTTGGAGCTCTGTACATATGAAGGATGAGGCCTATTTACACATTCCTTGTTGATTTGTCAGAGCTCTTTGCATGTGAAGGACTTGGTGGGCCCTCCTTACCCCTCGTCTCCCTTTTCACTCTGCAGTGGCTGGCTGGCGGCTGTTAGATTCTTTACGGTCAATGTTGGGGCTGCCGTGGTCATGCTGATCCCGGCCATCCTGTTTTCGTTGTCTGCTGTCATGATGGCCATCACTCTTGTGAAGGTAAGTTGGCAGGTCTGTCTCCACAGAGCACCCGTGTCTTCTGGTGTGGCTGTGAAGAGTTTTGACACCTGGGAACTCACAGGCTTGGTTGGGGAGGACACATGGCCCTCTGCAAGGTGTGCAGGTCCTGGAGGAGGTTCAGGACTGGGCATCACAGGTGGCACTGGCCCCAGAGCAGGGAGCGCAGGAGACCTGGCCGGGTTCCCTAGACACCACTGTCCCCTGTGGCAGCTCTGCCTGGCTGGACACATCCTCAAGGTAGAGCACAGGTTCTACTGTAGTCGGCTGTGTAGGGGCAGGAACCTTTTAAAAGGCCTTTTTTTTTTTTTTGACGCCAGGCAGTGGTGGCACACGCCTTTAATTCCAGCATTCGGGAGGCAGAGGCAGGTGGATTTCTGTGAGTTCAAGGCCAGCCTGGTCTACAAGAGCTAGTTATACAGAAAAACCCTGTCTCGAGGGGAAAAGCCTTTTTGGGGGTTTCTTTTCTAGAGGATAAACTGAGCCTTGTGAGCTCCAGGCAGCCCTGCTCAGCACAGAGCCGCTCTTCCATTCTCGAAGCTGATGCGTGTCTAGGAGTGAGCAGCCCACGTCCCTAGAGCTGTGACTTATCTGCAGCATCCCCGGCGTTCCCAGGACAGTGTTGACAATCCAGGAGGCCCGTGTTTCATATTTATTTATTTATTTATTTATTTATTTATTTATTGGGTTTTCGAGACAGGGTTTCTCTGTAGCTTTGGAGCCTGTCCTGGAACTCCCTTTGTAGGCCAGGCTGGCCTCGAACTCACAGAGATCCGCCTGCCTCTGCCTCCCGAGTACTGGGATTAAAGGTGTGCGCCACCACCACCCAGCGCGTGTGTCATCCTTATAGTGTCTACCCAGCCCTATCTGGGTCACACTCCCCAAGTGCATGCCGCTGCCCTCCTCCCAGTCGCTAACTAGCCGTGGAGGAGCGGGTGTGCTGTGAGGAATTCTAAAGACACAGCCCCCAAAGCTGCCGTGAGCCCTGCACATGGGAGAGAAGCTGCACATGGCCACTCTGGCCTTACGGCCTCTGCAGGTTTTTGTTTGAGTATTTTTTGTTTTGTTTTGTTTTGTTTTAATTTTTAGAGGCAGTATCATGTAGCCCAGGCTAGCCTCAGACTCACTGTGTAGGCTGAGACTGACCTTGAACTCCTGATCCTCCTGCCAGTTTACTGTGCCACTTTGGGGGTGAACCTGGTGGCCTGCCTGGCCCGGTGGATTGCGGATGGGACAGGAGCCAACTTTGGCCTGGTCCTGCTCTGGCTGCTTCTCTTCACTCCCTGCGGTTATGTGTGCTGGTTTCGGCCCGCATACAAGGCCTTCCGGTAAGGCTGGTCCAGGGGCCGGCAGGCTGTAGAACCTCTCTGTCCTGCTGGACTTTCTGATCCATGTCCAGGACAGGCTTCCGCCCAGTTAACTGACATTTGTCCTCCACTTGTCCAATGTGGCTGCTTGGGTCATGGGCAGCAATCTGTGACCGTAGGCCACAACCAGCTGCTGGGATGGAGTCCTGGGGTGACAGGTGTATGCCACCACAGCTGGTTTCTGTGGTGTGGAGGGTAGGATGGAACTCAGGATGAGTGTGCCTTACACGCTGAGCTGCATCCTCAGGATGAGTGTGCCTTACACGCTGAGCTGCATCCTCAGGATGAGTGTGCCTTACACGCTGAGCTGCATCCCCGCTCTCAGCCTGGCTGCCCTGGCTCTGATAAAGATCTGCCTGCCTCTGGCTCCCACCACACCTGCCTTTTTGTTTATTTATTCATTCTTACTTTTTATTTATTTAGTTAGTTTTTTCAAGACAGGGATCCTCTCTGTAACTCTGTCTGTGCTGGAACTCGCTCTGTAGCCCAGGCTGGCCTCGAGCTCAGAGCCCACCTCTGCCTCCTGAGTGCTGGGATTGAAGGTGTGCACCAGCACACTGTGCTTTTTTGTATTTTTTAGACAATGTCCTCCTACCTCAGCCTGAGTGATGAGGGTCTATACCACCCTGCCCTGCATTATCCCCCTTTCTTCCTCAGGCTCCCTAAGAAAGATGGTCAGAGGTCACACACACTAATGACAGTGAGGTGTCACAGTAGGGTGAAGCGTACCGCCCTGGAGAAGCTGTTGTTGAACTGGTGTGTCCTTTGGGGCTGCGGGGACAGCAGAGTGGAGATGAGGTACCCAGGGCACAGCGAGGGCGCACCCAGGGCACAGCGAGGGTGTAGGGTCTGTCATGCCTTGTGATGTCACCTGAGGATTCACAGTGGGTCTCTGTCCCTGCCAGTGCCTGACCTGCTCTCTGCTCTTGTCCTTACCCTTCAGGTGCACAAGATCTACCGTGGGGCTGGTGGGAGCCTGCAGAAGGCACAGACGGAGTGGAGTGCTGGTACCTGGAGGAATCCCCCGTCGAGGGAGGCCCAGTTTAACAACTTCTCTGGGAATAGCCTGCCTGAGTACCCCACTGTCCCCAGCTACCCCAGTGCAGGCCAGTGGCCTTAGGCAGCTGGCTGGCCCTAATATCGTGCCTCTGTCTCCTGCCATCACCCTTGGTCCTGAAGCCCGAGCATCTCCCCAGGGTCACAAGAGGTTCTTGGCCTGTATTCATCTTTGTCCGACCCTCAGCAAGCTCTGCCCAACAGCTATTGTCCACTGTCAGCCCCCAGAGCCAAGCTGTGTTACTGCCCCTCCTGTCCATGGAGCAGCCTCGAGGGCCAGGCTCCTGCCCGTTGTGTCCCAGAGCACTGAGGGTGGAGGCAGGAGCATGGCTGTTGTGACCGCATCCTTAGCACTGCCATCGGGTCTACCCCTGGGACAGGGTCCTCCAGCTTCTGTGGCCCATCCCTAGTGGCAGTGACAGCCTGCTGGCCCCACAACCATCCAGGATTCTGAGTAGACCTCTGCCAGTGCAGGCAGTGATCACTGGGTTGGGGCTGCTGTGGCTCCAGGAGGCCCTCCCTCTCTCTGTGGGAGGAGAGACAGGCTCAGCTACACAGCAGGCTTCACCCCTGCCAGAGGCTAGCCAGGACCACAGGCCCTTGGTCTGCTGGGAGCAGAGCCAGGGACAGAACTGTGCCTTAGAGAGAACCCTGCTTTCCCTCACCCTTCGCCTTCTCAGGGTAGCTGTGGCCTGGCCAGGAAAGCCACCCGAGTTATGGAAGGTCCATGGCACCCCTGATGACATTGGACTCAACATTTTCCCTATGACCTGCTGGTGCCACCAGCTAAGCCACTGCAGTGGCTTCCTACGGCCTCCCCACAGAGCCGTGCCCTTCCTGCCGGTGTCCTGCCAAACTGCCTGGGCACCTGGATGCCCAGAGGGGGCCAGAATAGAGAGTTGCAGGCAGGCGCTTGGGGATCAGCCTCGCACACTGAGGTACAGAAGGGGCATGGGGATGGAGCCCAGTACCCCCAAGACACTTACACAGCTTTGCCCTGCCATCCCGGGGTATGTGTACCCACATGCCAAGTTGGTTTTGTTATGTGAGAATATTCTGGAAATAAATTCTCTTTCTGCAGCAGGGCCTGTACTTGTGTGTACATGTATATGTACCTGTGTGTGTGTGTGGAGCCTAGAGGTTGGCGTAACAGACAAGCACCACCATAGCCTGCTGTTGACTTGGGTTTGGAGCAGAGGCAGGTGGGTGTCTTGAGTTCCATGCTGGCTAAGCCTACGTAGCAAAATACATATGCCCCAAAATAAGAGGATTATCCTGGGATACATGGGTCTCGGTCTCAAAAGGCTTTAGAGAATGTGGCATCATGGAGGACATGCTCCAGAGTGGACCAGCATGGTCTACTTTGTGTCTCCTGTTCTCCCTGCACTAAGGCCCTTCCCCCAGAGCCTTGGCAATGCCCATGAAAACTGCATCTTGCTGGGTGGTGGTGGTGCACGCCTTTAACCCCAGCACTCCAGAGGCAGAGGCAGGCAGATCTCTGGATCTCAGAGTTCAAGGCCAGCCTGGTCTACACAGTGAGTTCCAGGACAGCCAGGGGCTACACAGAGTCTCAAAAAGCAATAAAAAAAAAAAAAAAAGATCCAAAAGCACAGATACCTGCCAAGGGAAGGAGAGATGGGCAGATGTATCTAGAGGCCAAGGACACTGAGGTCACTGGCTGCCACATGCCACTGGGCAGGACTGGACTCCCTACAAAATCAGTGGGGTCAGCCCTCCTTGTTGACCTCAGAGTTCTGTCCCACAGAAGGGAGATGAGCTTGTGTTAGCCCTGGTGTATGGGGCTTTCCCTGTAAGCCTGTGTCTGCACACAACTCACTACCACACATAGGGTGGCAGTTCTTTCAGGAGCAGCAACAGTGACCCCATAGTTATGAAGTGCCTCACGCGGCATCTCTTCAAAAGTTATGGTGCCATTCTGTCTTCAGCCACCAGGGGGCACTCTGGGTTTCTCGTACCCATTGTCCTCGGCACCCACACTGGCCTCCCATACTGAGTCCTGTCTCCAAAGTCCCCAGTACAATATCACATGCTGTAACCCGTTCTCTGCTTTGGCTCTTTTAATCTTTTCTAGGTTTGTTGTTTGGTTTTTGGTTTTTTTGAAACAGGGTTTCTCTGTGTAGCCCTGGCTGTCCTGGAACTCACTCTGTAGACCAGGTTGACCTCTAACTCACAGAGATCCTCCTGCCTCTGCCTTCCAAGTGCTGGGATTAAAGGTATGCACCACCACCAACCTAATTACTGGTTTGTATTTTTAATATGGTCTCCTGTACCACAGGCTGGCCTCCAGCACGCTGCATAGCCAAGGCTGGTCCTGAGCCCTCTTGACTCCACCTAGTGTATCTGAGCACTGTTGCTAAGCTCCTCTCTCATCTCTGAAGCCAGGAAGAACTTGGAACGATTGTGCCTCTAATCTTCAGAAAGTTCTGGAATGCTTTAAAATGGGGAAATACAGGAAAATTATAGAATCACTGTTGTCAGAATCTGGAGGCAGGAGGGCTGCCCTGTTGAGTTCATCTACCTGGTAGGTAGATAAAACTGCACTGCCTCTTCCCTCCCATGCAGACATCACCAATCGATTGACAAATGAATGATTCCTTCCATGTTTTGCACAGGACAGGCATTAAGCAATCAACATTAAGCAATCAATCTGCCAGCCAATGGTGCTGCCCATTCTATGCACAAGTCAGGCGTCAATAAGACCTTCTCAGCACACAGCACTCACCACGAGTCAATCTGTCAGCAATGGCCTCCTCCATCTATACATAGAGAAGTGACATCAAGAGGAAACCACATAGCATCTTATTTCCAACTCAGACTTCCTGAAAGACACCTCTAAGCTCATCCTGGGACAAGGTGAACTCAGGCAGGGCAGCCCCTCCTACTCTCACAGAACACTGTCCAGGATTAGCTTGGACGCTAGCCTCTGGGGCAACATCAAGAAAACATCAGCGTGTGCCTTCCAAGGCCAGTTCCTGCTTGATGACCGAGACTGTCCTATCCCCTCAGAGGGAAACTACCAGGCCTAGCTGGAAAGTGTGGGCACCCTGCCACTCAGTAAGGAAGCCATGTGTAGCCGGAGTCCCCGTGGTTACCAGCGCAGGGTATGGGCAGCTGTCATCTCTTCAAGGTCCTCCACCTGCTGCCAGGAACAAGATGAGCTCCCTTGGCCCAAAGGGGGACTCTTCCTGCCTCCTCCAGCTGCTGAGGAATCCTGGCACCTCGCCAGCAGGTGATTTAGCCACCTGCTCTGCTGGAACTTTCTCAGTGTGGACATTACAATCTCAAGTCCGGGCTGGGCTCAGTGGGTAGTGTTCCCTAGATCCCAATGCTCAGTACATCAGGAGTTGGAGTTTAGATCACCCTTTGCTACATATTGGGTTTGAGGCTAGTTTGAACTACATGTGACCCAGTCTTAAAAAAAAATTATTAGCCATGAGATGGTGGTGCACGCCTTTAATCCCAGCACTTGGGAGGCAGAGTCAGGCAGATCTCTGGTCTACATAGGGAGTTCCAAGACAGGCTCCAAAGCTACAGAGAAAACCTGTCTTGAAAAACAAAAACAAAAAAAAAAACAAAAAAAAATCCCAGAAGGATATAATATTACCTAAGTTAACAGGAAGTGCATAGTAAGCGACTTCTAAAACTCTAGAATTGACAGAGACTTCTCACTGCCTGGACAGTCACCCAAAGTTCTTCTGTAACATTGGGGCATCTGTCTTCAGCCTACAGGCCCATAGTATCCGCAGACTTTTCCACGAAGCAGGAAATTTCAAAGACAGTTCCGCCTATATTGGCAGTTTGTCAGTCACTATTTTTTTTTTTTTCGAGACAGGGTTTCTCTGTGGTTTTGGAGCCCAGTCACTATTTTTTAATTATTTTTTTTAAGATTTATTTATTTATTATGTATACTGCTCTGCCTGTGTATCTCAGGCTATCCTGGAACTCACTCTGTATGTCAGACTGACCTCAAACTCAGAGAGATCCCCCTGCCTCTGCCTCCTGGGTCGGTGGGACTAAAGGCATGCGCCACCACCGCCCATACATTACATTTTCTTTTTTGTTTTTGTTTTTCGAGACAGGGTTTCTCTGTGGCTTTGGAGCCTGTCCTGGAACTAGCTTTGTAGACCAGGCTGGTCTCGAACTCACAGAGATCCGCCTGCCTCTGCCTCCTGAGTGCTGGTATTAAAGGCGTGCGCCACCATCGCCCAGCACATTTTTAAATGAGTTGCACAAACACAAAACCTTAATCAAGAGCAGAAATATATAACAAAATTGACCTTAAATTTGTATCAATAGTCCAAGATCCATAGCAATGCAAATCTGTATAGCATATCCCCCTTTAAATGTAACCAAACATTTATAGACATATAATATAATGTAATATTTGGGGATATGGGCATAGTTTTCTCCAAACTGCTTCCTGGTTTTTGTTGGGCAAACTATTTTTGAGGGTGTTCATGGCGACCTTTTGGGGGATTTTTGTGCATCAAACCACATTAGTCTGAAATTAATTCCTGGGTTCTCATCTTCTGTGGAAACAAGAGCAGAACCTCTTTTCCTTTCATTTATTTATTTATTTATTTATTTATTTATTTATTATGTATACAATGTTCTGTCTGTGTGTCTGCAGGCCAGAAGAGAGCACCAGACCCCATCACAGATGGTTGTGAGCCACCATGTGGTTGCTGGGAATTGAACTCAGGACCTTTGGAAGCGCAGGCAATGCTCTTAACCTCTGAGCCATCTCTCCAGCGCCAGAACCTCTTTTCCAAAGTCTAATTCTTAGACTAAAATTCTGAAGTCAACACACCTTTATGTTGGTTTGACTTGGCAGTCCCCACAATGAAATGTCTCTCGTGTAGCTCTTTAACTGTCAAAACATTCACCCGGTGGCAGTGGTGGTGCAGCCTTTAATCCCAAAACTGGGAGGAGGAGGCGGGGGGGGGGGGGGGGGGGCAGAGGCAGGCAGATCTCTGTGAGTTCCAGGCCACCCTGGTCTGCAAAGCTAGTTCCAGGACAGGCTGCAAAGCTACAGAGAAACCCTGTCTTGAAAAAAAAAAAAGTAAAAAAATTCAAAGAAAACACAATAATATACATAATCTAGACTTTCTGTGTATATTACATCTTTATGTGGCTTATTTTTCTTACTCTATTACTTTTTCAACAAGTTTAATATTTCTTTACTCCTTTGATCTATGCTGTCTGTACTCTTTTATATGACATCTACTGTCTCTTCACTTTTTCTTCTCTCTCCCATGCCTATGTACATTTTTCTATGATCCATTTAGAGGTCTTTTTTTTTATCTGAATCTGTCTTTTTTTAATATTTATTTATTTATTATGTATACAATATTCTGTCTGTGTGTATGCCCGCAGGTCGGAAGAGGGTACCAGACCTCATTACAGATGGTTGTGAGCCACCATGTGGTTGCTGGGAATTGAACTCAGGACCTTTGGAAGAGCAGGCAATGCTCTTAACCGCTGAGCCATCTCTCCAGCCCCAATGCTCAGGCTTCTTAATTCTTTCTTACATCTTAAATTAGCCCATAATTCTTGTCTGTGTTAGCCACATGGCTTGGTCCCTTTTTTCAGCAAGGCATTCTCATCCTCTGTATCTGGGTCTTTTGGCTTCCCAGAATTCTCCTGTTCTGGTTGCCCTGCCTATACTTCCAGCCTGACTACTGGCCAATCAGCATTTTGTAGGGTTAAGACAGCCCCTTTAGGGGGCAGGGTTTGCCTCGGGCGAATGCCTGCCAATAAATGGGCTCCTGGAGAGGCGGCTCGGCCCTTTTCCTTCCTACCTCCTGTGCCACGCTGGAACTTCGGTTCTGTAAGTTTATCATTAAAGTGTGAATATTCTTTAGTATCTGCATTGCATTTATTTATGCCGATACAGCATTTTATTAATCCAGTACAAATGACAAACCTTTACAGGTACAAGACCATTGTCCCAGGGCTGGAGAGATGGCTCAGAGGTTAAGAGCATTGCCTGCTCTTCCAAAGGTCCTGAGTTCAATTCCCAGCAACCACATGGTGGCTCACAGCCATCTGTAATGGGG